AGGGGGACGCGGGGGCCGTCCTGCTCGGCCGCCCTCCTGCTGAGGCCGGCAGCAGAGGTAACGGGCTGCCTATGGGCTGGCGAGCTCTCAGCCATGAGGAACCCGCGTCTCCTGCAGCTGGGAGCCCTGGCTGGAGCTAGCCGGCCTTTTAATGCTTCCCCTCAGAGCGCTTCCAGTCCCCCACGCTGTTCGGGTGGTCCCTCCTGGACGCGAGTCCTTCCGGGAGCAGAACAAGCGAGCCCCTCGGTGCCACGAGGCTCCTCCAAAGCACTGCGAACAGGGAGAGCGTGGGTTTGGAGACGGAGGGGCCCTGCAGAGCAGTGCCACACCTGCGCCAGCGCCGCCAGGCCCCAGGGAGCCGGCGCCAAGCACCCACGTCAGGACCTTCCCCGCGGTCCCGCCGGAGCCCTCCCTGCTATCTCCCTCCTCAGACTGAGAGGGAAATTGAGGAAACTGGTAACAAACACCCCGTGGCTGGTCTCAGCTTCTGGACAGACAATGCGAGGACGTAAGAGGCTGTTTGCTCATTCATAAATCATTAGATAATGATTTATGCATCGTGTGGCGGTCGTGCTTTTGTTTCTCCCCCGTGCGCTGCTATTCCGTAACACGCTACCGAGGCGGAGCGGCACACGGACACTAACTCACAGCGAAACGTTTAATTTTCAAACGCCTTGAGACGGGAAGGGACAGCGGGAAAGCGGACAGCAGCAGGAAGCACCCACGGCTCGCACGGCTTTTTGTTTTCAGGACCCTGCCCCCCCCCCAGCCGAACCCCAGCTCTGGGTGAAAGCGCTCTTTACTCTGGGCAGGCAGGCCGGGAGTCAATCAGCTTTAACAAACGAGCGACGGTCTCCAGGGACTCGTGCCGGGGCAGTTGTTTCAGCAGGCCCAAGGCTTTCAGCCCCAGCTCCCGAGCCTGGAACGAAAAGGAACAACAGAGGAATCATGAGGAAGTCGCCTTCTCCCGAGGGGCAGCGGCTCCGCGGGGTCGCCGCACTGGAGCGGATCCGGGCTGATGCCGCTCAGCCGCCTGCTGCAGAGGGTGACCCGCACAAGCTGCTTTACTGGGGAGCGTAAAGCTGCCGGCAGACATCACATCTAGGACCCAGCGGCGCAGACAGGGGGGATTACCAACGCCAGCCCCCTGCGCTGCGATCATTACCTCCCTTTCGATACAGCAGCTCGTCTGGACATTCCCAACGCCATTCCAGGAAAAATCCAGCTGTACTGACTCAGTTGGAACTAAAGCCCTCGTTTCCCTTGGTAGCTCTTCCAGGGATTAGACCTTCTCACAATTATAAAGCTCCGCTTTTCTAATTTGAATTTGTTTCTTTGCATCTTCGAAACACTGACTGACATCGTTGTGGCTTTCCCCGATACAATTAGTCATCGGTATTTTCATCCTCCAAAACACAGGCAGGAGAAACTCGGGCTTTTGAGCGCTCAGCCCGAACAGAGGGGCCCGGTTTCCAGACGGTTCCTGCTCAGCGCTTCCTCAAAATCAATGATTTTTAAGGCAGAGAATTGGGCACTCTGAAGTCAGTGCTCGCATCTCAAATTCTGAGCCGTAAAAATACAGGGGCGCAAATTCAAACCGAATTACGGCGTCTAACAGAGTGAAGCCACGTTAAAGTAATGGTAATTACGGGGAGCCTGGCTCGAGGAGAGGACACGCCAGGCCCACATCTTGCTCGCTGCCTAAGACCCAACCTGATGTCTACACACAGCTCATGACGAGGCAGCTACACTGCCAGGTAAAGAATGAACATGGAAAACATGGGCAACTGCAGGATCCGCTGGGAATGGTCCGGCAGAGACCACAGCAGCAGATCCAGCAGGATTTATTAGCCTGGACGGAGCGCAGATCGTGAGCTGGCTTCCCGCAGAGCCACCGAGGCAGCTTTGTCCTCGGTCCCCCAGTGCCCCAAGGCTGTTGGGGGCTCAGGAGAGGTTCCCGGTGAGCACGGGCTTCATGGGAGGGGGCGAGCTCCGAAACCAAGCAGGGAAACCCTCCCGGAGCCTGTCAGCGGGCAAGGCGTACCTTCGGTAAATCCAGGGCCAGGTAATAAAGCATGGCGAGGGCATGCAGGACCCTGGCCGTTTCCCCAGGCTGTTGCTCTGGCGCCTGCTCTCTGATCTCCAGCACCGCATTCAGCACTCGGGTTGCTTCGGCTTGCTGGGCTTCAGCTGCAGCAAGACAGAAAGAACCTCGTTGGGTGTACGTGTGCATGCCAGATAATATATTCAAAACTGTCCAATTATCTCTTCCAGACATCAAAGCCTTTCTGCTACAAGCATCGATGCGGTATCCCAGCGCCATGCAAATTCCACACCCGTTAACAGCTATCTTTTCATCCCGTCAGTAATTGTGTTGATTAGCCTTTAGTAAGGATGTAGAGTCCCAACAGCTGCGTGAAAAGAGCAACTTTCCTACTCCGGTCACGACCGAAGACGATATCGCGTAGCCCCTGGTGTGGTTCCTGCCGGGCGGAGACGATGCCAGGTCCTGGGATTCACAGCACCGTTCCTCTCCTCTGCCAATGTCCTTCTTAGCATCGATGGTCGGACAAGGGCAAGGCCCAGAGCCTCGTCTGACTTCCGTGGGGCGTAGGGTAGCACCACGCGCCCCGGCGCGTTTCCTAACGCTTTGTGCACCCTCATGTCCCAGTGAGAGACTACCAGCGTCTCTCCTGAGCGCTTTCTCCAGGTTACTACACCCCATCACCGGCACACGCTACTCCGGCGTGTCCTGCTGCGTCAGGAGACAGAGCTGCAAACCTGCCTAAGTGAGACGAAACGTCGCTTTCGCATCGTTAAATGGAGACAAAGGAGTGGCAGAGAAACGAGGATGATGAAGTGGAATGGAATCCTGAAAGGCAAAATCTTGTGTTGTTACAGTGGCTGCCGAGGGCGCCGCAAAAAGGAGCAGGTAAACAAAAAGGGTGAAGCTGTGCTTCCTCTTGAACACCCTAATTCCTCACGCGGCCTCGTTGGTGTCACCCAGTGCAACCCGCTGCGCATCAACATCAGAAATACCCGTGATCCCGATTAAACTGGGTCTGCGGAAACGCCACGCAAAACCCAACGCTGTAAATACGAACCATAGGCTGTACAGCCCTGAGGAGCAGGACTTGGGGGTACTGGTGGATGAGAAGCTCACCATGAGCCGGCAACGTGCCCTGGCAGCCCAGAAAGCCAACTGTATCCTGGGCTGCATCCAGAGCAGCGTGGCCAGCAGGGCGAGGGAGGGGATTCTGCCCCTTTGCTCTCGTGAGACCCCACCTGGAGTCCTGCATCCAGCTCTGGAGCCCCCAACATAGGAAGGACCTGGATGTGTTGGAACAGGTCCAGACGAGGGCCTCGAAGATGATCTGAGGGCTGGAGCACCTCTCCTACGAGGACAGGCTGAGGGAGTTGGGGCTGTTCAGCCTGGAGAAGAGAAGGCTCCAGGGTGACCTTAGAGCAGCTGCCAGTGCCTGAAGGGGCCGACAGGAAGGATGGAGAGGGGTTTTTCACAAGGGTGTGTAGGGATAGGACAAGGGGGAACGGCTCTAAACTGGAAGAGGGCAGATTTAGATGAGATAAGAGGAAGAAATTCTTCCCCATGAGGGTGGTGAGGCCCTGGCCCAGGTTGCCCAGAGAAGCTGTGGCTGCCCCCTCCCTGGCAGGGTTCAAGGCCAGGTTGGATGGAGCTCTGAGCACCCTGGTCTGGTGGAAGATGTCCCTGCTCATGGCAGGGGGGTTGGAACCAGATGATCTTTAAGGTCCCTTCCCACCCAACCCATTCTATGATTCTATGATTCTATGTACGGAGTCTCTAAACCCCATCTTCCAAAGGGCTCTGCGTGATAGCGGTGCTTACTCATACTGTCTTTGCTGACTTCCTTGTCCTCGGTGAATGGAGACGTTTCCGGTCGTGACTGGAGAACTTGCTCCTGCGCTTGAACTGACCTCAGGAGAAAGGCATGCCAGATGTCGGTTACCTATCAGGAAGCAAATGAGTGATTTCACTGGTGTGAATACAGGGTATTTAGCAACGCGCTGCTCTGTAAACAAGGTCTCCCGCAACGCACGCCC